GGCAGAGGGGGAGGAGCAGGGATACCTGTCATGCCAGGTAAAGGTGGAGGTGGTGGCGGCATGCCTGGCAGAGGAGGAGGAGGAGGGATTCCCTCCATGCCAGGTAGGGGTGGAGCGTGGGGTGCAGCTGGCACTCCCGGCAGTGGGGGAGGAGGGGGGATTCCCCCCATGCCGGGCTGGGCTGGACCCTGAGGTGGCGCCATGCCAGGGAGAGGGGGCGGCAGTGGCGGCAGTGGTGCTCCAGGGAGAGGAGGAGGGGGAGGTGGCGGCGGCGGTGGAGGAACAGCCGGTGGAGTCGCAGTTTGCCCTGGCGAAGCCGAGCAGGGCAGCCCCTGGGCTGGCGTGATGTCCTCAGCCACGTTTGGTGGCTCTGAAGCACGTGGCGGGTTGGAGCAGGGGGTCGCCGGAGGAGCACGGGTGCTGGGAACTTCCCCCACATCTTCGCTGGTCTGAGTGCTCTCAGTCACCTGGCCAGAGGCTCTTCTGGAGTTTGAATTTCTTCTCTTCGGGCACTTCTTGATGGACAGCAGCCTCTCCATGACCTCTTCCACGCTGTTGCCTTGGACTGCAAAAGAGCACACGGGAGTGTGGGAAGAACTGGAAAGAAGGGGAGGCTCAGAGCGAACTTAAAGCTAGTTCAAATCCGCCTCCTTTGTCAATATAGGAATCCGACACTGGTCAAGAGCTGCAAGAGGGAAAATTGGGGACAGTCTCTGCAGGTCAGTTCAGCAGAGCCAAGTGCCCCATCCTTTCACATGGGTCCATGGATGTTAAAGGTAAAGGTTTCCCCTTGACGTGAAGTCCAGTCATGCCTGACTCTAGGGGGCGGTGCTCATCTCCGTTTCCTAGCCGAGGGAGCCAGCGTTTGTCCGCAGACAGTCTCCGTGGTCATGTGGCCGGCAAGACTAAACACAGAGGTGCACAGAACGCTGTTACCTGCCCACCAAATGGTACCTTTTTATCTACTTGCATTTGCATGCTTTCGAACTGCAAGGTTGGCAGGAGCTGGGACGGAGCAACGGGAACTCACCCCGTTGTGCAGATTCGAACCGGCGACCTTTCGATCCACCAGCCCAGCAGCACAGCGGTTTAAACCACTGCGCCACCTGCATCCCTCCATGGATGTTAGACAAGCTTTAATCATTGAGCTACCGGCAAGGGGACTCAGCTCAGCTAAGAAAAGCCCAACATTTGAAACACCAAAACCTTCAAGCAGCTTACAGGGCTGTTGGAGTTGGTGTCTGATGGCCCCCCTTGGCATGGCCCCTGCTGTGCTGCACCCCAAGGGCCCCCCATCTTGAAGAGGGGCTGCTCCAGAGAGGAGGGAGGGGGCAGGCTACCACTGTGCCCCCAGCCTTGGCATTTGCTCTCTCTTCTAACTGTACTGACTGCCAGAATACACACCAGTTGTGGAGGTTTTCCTCAGGTGGCTGACAATGTTGCTGCAGGTTTCAACCATACAGATGCACTAGACATGCAGTGATATTTATTCATGCACTTTAAAAACGTAATAATTCTGAGGTGGATACCTCAATGCCCTTGAGCATCCACACCAAGTTTCAGGTGCTTCACAGTCCGGACACTGGGGCAGTGATGGACCGAGAGATGGACAGACAGACAGACGTGTTCTTTCATTATTATAGGCAGATGCTTTAGGAGCTCTGCGGCTCCTTGTGAGGAAGGTGCACAATGGGTATTGTAGTGGGCTGTTAAGTGCGCTCCCAGTTGACATGACAATGTGTAAGACCCAGCACTTCTTGCCATCACGACGTGTGACACGAGGGTCCAACGTGCGCAGTTGCATTCTGCAGGAATTCCATGGGAGAGACACATGGATTCGACCCAGAAAAGTTTCCTCAGGTGCAAGCATGTGGCGCTTTAAGCACTGTGGAGGAAGCAAGGGTCAGGGTATAAAACAGAGGAAGCGTGAGCTGTTGCACCGGTATTTTCCCTCACTCTTACATCACTGGTGGGCCTGTGTGCCTTGTGAGAGGATCTGTTGCTTGCTCTGCAGCTTGCAAAGTAGCCAGAGGTGAGGTAAGAGATGGCATGGAATAAGCCAGGCTGTCTTTCTTGGAAGAAGATTCCTTCACATCCTTTTGGCTCTTAAATCGTAATGCTGAGTGAAGGAAAGGGTGCTTTGTTCCCCTCAAGTAAAATAGGATCTAGTAGATTAATGGGAAGTTTAACATGGTATGTGGGGAAACATCACCACAGGGTGATATTTTTCAGGACATTTCCTCCTGTGTTGAATATCCTTTTAAAAATAAACTTACCTGAAACACCATTGTCAATTCAGCCACACCAATGCCTATATGTTTGGGATTAAGTATAACACAGACTGTGTTCATAACAGGTGCGAATCCACACTCTAGGGTTGTGTCTGGGTTGAATGTGGGTTGCTGTTGAAATGTGAGTTACCTCGTTGTCTGAACCTGGCTGTGCTTCCAAGCCATGGCTTGTTAACCATGAGGACCCATCCAGAGAACTCATGGTTTATTGCTGGGCTGATTGTTCACCATGGTTTGTTATCTCAGCTGTTTCAGCAACAGGGTCTGGCTCCGTGATGCCCCATACTCAGTCCTAGGTATGGGTTATTGTATCGTGTGAACCCACTGAGTCAGTATTTTGGTATGCCCTGTACCATCGATTACACTGTGCTGAAAAGACTGGTTATCTGACTGTGTTGTAGCTGCAATTGTGTTTCACAGGGTTTGCATTACATTGGTGTAAGTTGCCAGTGTTTATTAAAGTATGATCACTCCTGTCCCTTATTTTGAGGTTTTTATTATGTAAGTTCTACTGTCATATGTAACTTGTAGGGAGGGGGGTGTTCCACGCTGAATGCTGGCCAAGAAATATTTTAAATGAATAAAACAAATCTTACTGTCACTGGCAAGCAAGATAGCTCTGTTTACTAAGATTTCCAAAGATTCCCACAACAAAAGGCTGGAGCGATGAGAGGGTTCAAGATGCAAGAGGCTCTGGAGAATAGACAGCAGTTGGACAGAGACTGGGAAGCGGCTCACCTGAAAGATACAAAGGGCACCTACAAATTAAACTCTTTTCTTCATCATCATCTTTATTTCATTTATACACTACTCAATATGGGCTCTCTGCATGGTTAACAAAAATGCATGAAAGAATAAAACAATGCAGACATGATTAAAACAATTAAAAATGTCAGAATTTAAAAACCATTTAGGGAGTTGAACACTTTCTGTATCTTCAATAAACTTTATATGGCAGTGACTCCAACTCTAGCACTGATTCAATGCTATTCCAAGCACAGAGCGGCGCGGTTAAGCCCCACGGGTAAGAGATGCAATCGCCAATCCGGTTTCCCAGTGCAGAAGCAACCACTGTGTTTTTCCATGCACTCGTACAGGGTAAAGGTGCATGTGCATAAGAGCTCATGTCCGAACAACAGGCGTGTGAGGCTCACAGGATAAATGGCCATGTTGATGCAGTGTGACTGTGAGCAAGGCACCAAGATCGCATTTTATGCACAACTGATGCAATGCCATGAATTAGAATTATTAGGATTAATAAATTAGATTCTGATAGATCTCTCTGTGCTTATGGATTATTTTTACTCACCAGCAACACTCCCCAACAAATACACATTTCAAACCAGATCGCTTTTTGGCCGTATCTGGCAGCAAACCTCACCTGCATAGCGCTTCTTTTGAGGACTGGAAAGGATTGCCTTATATTACAATTTCCAGCCTGCAGACACCCAAGGCCTCACATTATACTGGTCTCCAAAGGCAGGAAACAGAAACTGACAAAACAGGAACTGCATTTCCACTACCAGTGCAAACCCACTGCCAGGAAGAGCTCCAAAAACTTTTCAGCTTTTACAGCACATCACAGAGGGAGTACAAGCAGCTGCCACTTGGGGGCATCATTCTAACATGCAGAAGTACATGTGCCGTAGCTTGCGACAGGATGCTTTGTTAAAAATGGGGAATCCTTTAGTTCAGGATTGTGGAACTGTTTTTGGCCCAGTGACACCATTTCGGGGAAGTTCTTATGGAGGGAGGCAGGGAATTCCCATACTGGGTGGAATATTGGATATTAAGTAAGCGTCACCTGATAATGCTCATGTTGTTGTTCTGATGTGCTGTCAAGTCATCGCGGACTTCTGGTGACCCTTTGAACAGAAATCCCCCAGAATGTCCTATTCATGACATCCCTGCTCAGCTGTTCTTAATTCAGGGCTGTGGCTCCCTTTAAGGAGTTGGTCCATCTCCTACTTAATTTTCCCCTTCTTCTTCTGCCTTCAACTTTTCCTCGCATGTCTGTCTTCTCCAGGGAATTTTGCCTTCTCATGATATACTCCAGGTAGGACAGCCTCAGTTTTGCCATGTTTGCTTCTAGGGCAACCCTCATATCCCTTATTAATGTCTAGCTCTGCACAGAGCTAGAAGTAAGGCCTAGACAACATCTGGGAGGCCACAGGATTTTTCGGACTCACAGGTCTGATGACAAAGAAGACCTTCAGCCTCAGAGCTAAGGGTCTGTGCTTGGATCCTTCCTCTCCCTCTGCCTTGCAGCTGCTGCAGAAGGAACCAAGCTGTGTGCTGCTGGGAGCTCCTATGAGTAACTTCAAAGAGGGTAAAGATAACATCTGGAGGAGGGCGGGGACTGGGCTCACCAGGATGCAACATATCCTGGTAGCACTCCAACCTCCTTCCCTCTCCATCTGAAGTGTTGCCACGAGGAGCCGAAACCATCTGACTGGAGGGGCAGGAGGACTGCAGGAGCAAAGCTCACCTCCACACTCCCCTCACCATGTACAGAATGCCTGCAATCCTCTGGTTCAGGGCATCCTGGGCCTCCCCACTGGATCATGCCCTGAATTGTCTTTGGATCTCTGGTTAAAACATGGCTGTAAAGAAAACCTTGGGCAACAGCAAACGGATAGTGTTGGTACTGCCTGGGCTGCTGCAGCCTTTTGCGTTTGGATATCTTTTCTATTTCATCTGGTTTTCAATTTGGTCGTGCAGCCTTGCATCCACTTATTGCTTGATAACTGTTCACGAGTATGAGTAAGTTTGAGTTCTTTGGCACAGGAGACAGAAACGTTAAAAACACACGGCGACACATAAGAAAAGCTGCATTAAAAAAGAGGACCCTGCTCACTTTGTTGAACAGACAAGAGAAAACCTCGTGATGATTGCTCATGTCAATCCCATCACATATCTTCAACAGCTCCTCATCATCCTCAGATTTGGCCTCCTCAAAGGTCTCACATTGGATAAATAGGTCTGCATCCTCGATGTCTCTGCACAAAGCCCACAAGGGTAGAAATTAGCATGATCCTCAATTAAAAACAAAATAGTATCAATTCATTTCTGTTTACAGTCAAACTGGTGGAAGCAGATTCCTCTAAACCGTAGCAGTTCCCAAGCCCCTTTATTCCTGTGTTTGCACTGAGTTGGTAAAGTACACATCATTAAATCGGGGATGGGGAACACTGGACCTGGGGTCCCATTCAGCTCCTCCAGAGTTCCCATAAGTACATCAAAAAGCCCTGCTGGATCAGACCAAAGGCCCATCCAGTCCAGCACTCTGTCCACACGGAGGCTAAACAGCTGCCTGCAGGAGAAGAGTTCCCCTATCCAAGTTCCTCAGCTATGGGAATCTGCAGGCATATTGCCTCTGGCAGCAGAGTCCAGTCATCTTTTAAGCTGTCCAAATTGGTGGTCATCTCTACATCCCGTGACAGTGAATTCCACTGTTTAACTCTGCCTTATGTGAAACAAGTCCTTTCCTTTTATCTGTCCTGAATCTCCCACCAATGAGCCTCATGAGATCACCCCACAGGGCTCTAGAATTACGGGAGGGAGGAAAAACATTTCCCTCTCCCCTTTCTCCACAAAATGCCTAATTTTGAACACCTCTATCATGTCTCCCATCACTTGCCTTTTTTTCCAAGCTACTGACCAGTGATTATACTAAAAGGTTGAAATGTCCCTCTTAAAGCTTAGTTACACTTAGTATTAAGCTACAATACACTAACATTTTTGAATACTTTTGGTACATCTCTTTGGCCTTCAGTGCCTCCCCTTTCACCTTCAGCTCCACCCATTACTGGAAAGGGAGCCTGGAGAGCTTCTCAAAACTGAATTTTGTCCTCATGCTGAAAGATGTTTCCCCGCCCTCCGTCTTCAAAGAGCCTACTTTAAACACCTTAGCAAACTCTGCAGGCAAATTTGCAAGCCAGAGAAAGGTGTTTTGGTTTCTCTTGTTAATACAGACTCATCAAACCAAAATTAATAATGAATAGGGATGACTGAAATGACAGAGTCTTGCAAATAAGGCATAGATACATGCAGAACCTGTATCAAATTGATAAATAACTCACCGCAGCTTAGTTAACAAATCCAACAACTGGAGACCTGGAAGTAGCAAATGAAAGGAAAAGAAAAGATTGACTGTGAATTTAGGATTCATTAAGGGTGCAACCCTATGCCAGTTTAGCCCATAAAGGGCCTACAACTCCCAGCTTGCTCCAGCCAGCTAGCCTTGCACAGGACTGTGCCTTCCTAGAATGAAACATGCTCTTTGCCAAGTGATGGAAGTTGCTACCAGAAAGCGGGGAAAGGGACCGTTTCTGAAATAGACATGCAGCTAGAAATTGCAATGCAATGTGCAAAAATGGAAACATACTTGAAAAGCTGATGCATTCATGGATAAGCAAGGTTCTCACTTCAGTGCACAGAGGCAATGTGGAGTAGTGGTTAAAGAGCTGGGCTGGGGCTTGGGAAATCTTGGGGAATTCTGGTTCCCACTCAGCTATGATGCGCGCTGGGCGACTTTTGGCCAGTCACTAGCTCTCAGCCCAGTCTGCCTCTCGGGATTCTTTGGGGGTAAACCATTGCAGCTGATCTCAGTTCCAGTCAAGAAATGCTGGACATAAAAGCAAAGATAACCAAACCTTTTTAAAAGGTTACGAGCCAGGTGGCTCTCTGCAAACAATTACAGTGGTTCACAAACAATTACAGTGGCTCACAAACTTAATCTGTTCCAGGACTCTGGTCATGACCCAAATTGGTCATGAGCTAAGTCAAATTTCCCCATAAGGTTTGATGTCAATAAAGTTAATCCATTCTGTAACCATTTTTTTAAATCAGAAAAATCTGAAGCAAATGACAAAGAACAACAAAGACTGTGGCCATCTCCCCCCGCCCACCCCGAGCACAAGTGCGGCCATCTCCCCCACCCCAGCACGACCGCGATCGCGCCCATCATCCCTGCACAAGTGCAATTGCGATCGCGGCCATAGACGGCGGGGGAGGGGGAGAGATGGGTGCAATTGTGGGTGTGCTGGAGGGCAGATGGGTGCGATCGCAGGTGGGCTGGGGGGGGGGAGACAGGCACAATTGTGCTGTGGGGGAGATGGCCGAGATCACAGTTGCACTTGTGCAGGAAAGACGGGCGCGATCTCGGCCATCTCCCCCACCCCCGGGCACAACCGTGATCACGCCTGTCTTCCCTGCACAAGTGTAGCCGTGCTCATGGCCATCTCCCCACTTGGGGGGTGGGGTAGGGAGATGGCCGCGATCGTGGTCGCCACCCAATGCGGAGTTCGTGCCCTTAGTCCAAATTTTTATGACATTTTTGTTCGCAACCCGATTTGGTCGTGAACCGAGGTGTTCGTGAGCCGAGGTACCACTGTACACCACACTGGGACTAGATCCAGTGCTAGTCCAATTTAAGTCCCATTCATTTCAGTGGGTCTACTCAAAGAAGGATCGGCAACAGCTAAAACCCTTTGTTCAGCCCAGGTCAGTGACTGACCTCGAACAGTGGAAGATCCAAGCAGGCCACTGCGCTTACCAATGAACTCGTTCCGCAGCTGCGTCCTCGCTCGCAGCTCTTCCGTTCCCAAAATGACTGCGTTGATGGCACTGAGCAGCGTGATCATGTAGGGCACATTGTCTGTGGCCGAGAGCTCGTTCATGATGACGCTGAACCGATACTGCTGGTTTTTCACACTCTGTGAAAATGAAGAGGCTTTATCTCCAAATCAAGGCTGAAGACAGCGATGGAAAAATGCCAGAGCCCTGGGTGGAGAGATGCTGGAACCCTATGCAATATGGTCTGCTCTCCAGGAAGCCAGATATGTTCTCACCATGTGCCACCTTATTTTTTTCACTGAGGTTGTTGGGGACTCAACCTGGGGCCTTCTTCCATACAAAGCATGTCCTCCACCACTGATCTACGGTCTCCTCCTCATTCCACATGACGGATCCGCTATTTCTGCTTCTACCTTCAACTCAAATTCCACTTCTTTGACACCAAGGGCTGAATCCCATTCTGGAGATGCTCTTGGGGGCACAATCCAGTGGTCAAAGGAATAGATGTGAGGACAAAGATAAAATTACTCACACTTGAAGTTCTTACCAGTTACTGCCAGCAACTGAGCCTTAAGGGGGTAATTTCAACCATTTAGAATGGGGGAAAACAGCACCTTAGCCAGGAAATCACCAAGTAGGCAGTGGCTGAAGGAAAGGGGGTGGGTCCAGGGCATGGGAGTGTGGCCATCTGGGGACACTGGAGGACCAGATGGGAACCCACAGGCCTGGCATTCTGCATTCTCTCCACAGGCCTGGAGAGCCAGTGTGGTGCAGTGGTTAAGAGCTGGGACTGGGACTCAGGCGATCCGGGTTCGAGTCCCCGCTCAGCCACGGAGCCAGCTGGGTGACTTTGGGCCAGTCACAGACTCTCAGCCCAACCTACCTCACAGGGTTGTTGTTGTGGGGATAAGATGGAGGAGGAAATGTAAGTTGCCTTGAGCTCTTTGTAGGAAAAAGGCAGGATATGAATCAATCAATCAATCAATCTCTAGTGTAGACAGTGGCTGGGTTCTGACAACACAAACCACGGTGGTTTTTTACCACTGATGGTCTGCTGCTGTGTTGTCTGAACCTGATCATGGTATTTCCCTATGGTAAGTTTGATCTTTAGAAACCAGAAATAAGAAACAATGGTTTGTTCTATTGTTTCTTTGTATCACCATGGCTTGTTGTGTTGTCTTAACCCAAGATCACGGCTTTGATGTTCCTGGTATGTAACAAACACAGAATCCTTCGGAGAAAGTGGCAACTGCAGGAGCTGTTCCAGCCATCTAGCCTGTACATGTGGACCGACAAGGAAGAGGCAGGTGCCACAGGCAGGAAGTGATGCATGCTGGGATTGAGTTTCAGGTGCAGTGACTGATGGGGTACATGCCACCAGGTGGGAGGACTGAGCAGGGAGGATGGTAACTAAGATAAAGAAGAAATGACTTGACTGCCATGATAAAAAACGGCAAATCATGCTAACTATGCAGGCCCATTTGTTACGCTGTGTGAACACAGCTAGTCACTGCTAAACCATGAGAATTTGGGGCAGTCAGTTCTGGACAGGCAAAAGACAGTAGTTCTTCACGGTGCCACTTTCACTTATGGAACTCTCTTCTACAAGTTGGCTAACAACGGCCACGAGCTTAGACCCACACATGTGGCATTATGACCCACTGAGGCTTTTGCAAAGAATGGCATATAAATCCCCTAAATAAATAAATAATAAATAAATTATGAGGCGGGAATGATGTAGGAAAACATAAAATGCTTCTTCAGATCGTAGGAGGATGGGAACTGTACACATTTCTGGAATGTTCCCCCACGGTGAAAAGAAGCATAACCTCCCTGCAAGCAGACAACTAGCAAAATGGGAATAGAAGAATAGAACCTTTCTAACTTCTGTCTTTGGGTATTGCTTATTTTTAAAAAAATTGCAAGTGGAAATCCAGAAAAGGCCTTCCACCTAGGCAACCTGCAAGTGCTGTTTCCATCTCATTCTGCCGCACATGCAAACAAGGCCTTCACTGGTTTCAGAAGAGGATGAAATAAATCTTTCCAAGAATATTAGCCCTGAGAGCTACACTTTACTTGCAGCCTCAGAGGTTGGACGCTAGTGAACACCAACCAGTGCCTGGAGTGCAAGAACAGGAAATGGGCAGCTGGTGTCAAGCCCTCTTTCTGGGCTTGTCAGAAGCAGCTGGCTCCCGGCTTTGGAGAGCCCGTGGGCAAGAGACCTTCACTAGGCCGGCTATGGTGACCAGGAGCTCTTCACTGCCTTTCCCATCACTGCGACCTCCTGCTTGCTTGCGTGGCTAGGTAGGACGCTGGGTGGTGAGTGGGAGGAGTGATTCTTGGCGGGTGCCCAGCCATGCCTATCCTTGCTGCTGGCCCGACAGTTGGCCACTGCAGAAGAGTATATGTTGACAAGCTTGATGGTCAGATTCAGCAGGTCTTTCTTCTATTTCAGCATCCCTGAATGCATGTGCTTAGGATCCTAGAACCCCAGAATAGCAGAATTGGAAGGGGCCGTGAAGGCCATCGGGTCCAACCCCCTGCTGCTGCAGGACACCAGTTACACCATCCCACTCGCTTCACTTCATTTGACCTTTGATGCTCTACTTGCCTTGAAATGGTCCAGGGCGTCCAAAGCCAGGGCGTGTCCCTCAGCAGAATAAATGCACAGTGCAGCCAGGAGTTCAAAAACTTGCTTCTTGACCATGACGTTCGAGGTGTCGAGTGCTGCAGAGATGGGACAGGGTGGGAGAACACACCAAGGTCAGCTGGCTTGGACAGCTGCATCCCCAAGACAACCACAAAGAGCCAAATAAAATGAGGTGCCACTCATGAAATTGTCAATGGCATGGATAGCTGGTCAAATTGCAGATCCTGGGCCCCTGGTCTGGATAGGGATGTGGGTGTGAGAGTGTGGGGTGAAATGCGAACTTAGAAACACAGAAACAGAGCGAGTCAGAAGGGGTCCCCTGGGCCATCTAGTCTGACCCCCCCGGCTCCAGCTGACTCCGCTCATGACATGCCTACCATGTGCATGTCCAGCCTATCCTTGAACACTCTCACCTCCTGTGGAAGCCTACCCTTGGGGTCCTAACTGTCAGGAGGTAGTTCCTGCCCTCCAAATTGAACCTTGGCTCCCTGAGCTTGGCTCCGTTGGAGCACGTCCTGCCCTCCTCTGCAGGGGAAAACAGGTCTCCACCCACCTCCATGTGGCACCCCCTCATGTTGCCAACAGAGTCTCCTCTTCTCCAGGCTGAAAAGACCCGGTTCCCTCAGCCTTGCCTCATACTGCTTTCCCTGCAATCCGGCCACCGTTCTTGAACCCTTGGCCACCCTTTCCGATCCTGGTGGGGGGTGAGGGATAGCCCTGATGTTTGCACTGGGGAAAACAGCATGCAGAGGACAAGTGTGCTCCATGATCTGAATTGGGACCACAACAGAGGACAAAGGAGTAAAGCCCCACACCAAAACCTGCACCACTAACAGCCGTGCCTTAGTGGTGGGAAAATGACCTGGCCACGCATTTCCAGATGTGATTGAGGCAGACCGATTCAGAGATAAATGCCATTGATTTCAATGGGTCTTCCCTGAACACACATCCAAGTGCTTCAGAGTGCAGCCTTGCAGCAGGTAGCCTGAGCAGGTGCACTCACAAGCCCCACTGACTTCAATGGAAAAGACTACTTAGGAAGTGTGAATGAGACTGCAGCTTTAAAATGCCATGGAAACGGGGGAGAACAAGATCGGAGTGCCCATGCATGGATGAGACGACCTGCTCCCACCTTGGGAAAGTTTCCTGACGTAGCCTTCGTTGCTCACGATGTATTCGATGCCCTTCTGCGAATTCATGACTGCTCGCACGCAGTTGATGCACGTCAGCTGAAGCAAGGCATCGGAAATTCTGGAGACCCCCCGGCCGGAGAGTCTGTCCAGGGCTTCTAGGAGCAGATCCAGCCCACAGAGCTCCAGAAATTGGACCATCCAGCCATCGTCGCTGCTCTCCAGCCTCTTTTTGAGCCCCGAGTAGTTCACCACGGAAGGGATTTGCAGAAGGCGGATGCAAAGTTCCGGCTCTGCATTTTCCAGGTTGGCCTCTGTCTGATCGGAGTCCTGAGGTCCCAGTTTCTCCTTCAAGGCAGCCCATTTCTTGTGTGCACCTTCTTTTTTGAGAGACATTTTGTCCGCTTGCTCCTAAAGGTGGAAAAGGGGGAAAAAGCAGAAGAGAAGGCTTCTGAATAATCCAACAATACTGAACCAGTCTCTAGACAAAAAGACACATGAAGCAAGGCCTTCACTCTGCCCAAGGCAGGCTTCAACCCCCTAGAGGGCATAGTAAGCTCGAATGCCTTCTCATAGACCTCCTCTGTTTTCCCCTAGATAAGTTTTCCCCTAGATAAGAACCCTACAAAGGCTCTCTGGAAACTTCTCTCAAACTTGGGACTCTTTTTATTATTGGCTAGCGAAACGGGACTTCATATAGATTTAAATATGTTTTTAAGTTATCAGAAGGAAAGGATGTGGGGGCTGACCAGCAGGCCTGATGTTTTTGATGATTGATGTTGTTTTTAGTGTTCTTGTTTTGTTTTGTTTGTTTTTAGAATTATAATTTAAATAAAACTTATTATATAAAAGAAGGATGGACAAAGGCTCTCTGGGAAAAAGGCCAGTTTTTCCTGTGCGATTAGCTCCCCGGCCCATGATTGTCCCAAATTGCAGGGAAGATTTTGTAGCTAGCTCGTGTCACCTGAAGGCATCAGGTCATCCACTGGGACTTGTGTGCCTGTCCATCCAATAAGCATCCAGCCCCAAACATCAAAGCTAGCCTTCTGGTTAAAGCACAATACCCATCCCTTTAATGTGGGCACTCAGTCACTGTCACGTCACGGAGCTAATGACTTGTATCTCGTACGGAAAGGTTCACGGCAGAATCACATCACAACGAACACGGTCCACTGTTTTCTTCGTAATTCGATGGGAGGATAACCTTGGGTTACCTATCAAAGCTTTGACTCATCACTGATTGCTGAAAGCTTTTTAGGAACAAGCCAAAGTGGTTTCAGTAAATAAACAGAGGGCCTCCTTGCTCCTCCAAAAGTTAAATCAAGATGCATTAGGCTGAAATATAGGCTAAGCCCTGGGGAATCAAGAAGGCATTTTGATCTGGGACGCCATGGAGAACGGGAAGAAAGAAGGAGATGTTTATCTTGGAACAAGGATCTCAGCTCAGAACAGACATCAGGACTTTTTGTGCTGGTGTTGCCCTGAAGCTTGCTTATTCCAAGCCCAGTAACTATTCTGTCTGGGGATGATGGGAGTTGCAGCCCAGCATAACTGGAAGGCACCAGACTGGGGAAAGCTGGCTGATAAGATACTACTAATATGTTGCTTTTCCTGCCAAGAGCTCAAGTAAACTGCACAGCTTTGTGCGTGTCTTGACACATTTTATTTCCGCTTCTCTCAACAGCAGTTGTACGGATTTGTTTTCAAAACTTCCACAGTTTGGGCATTTTTAAGAGCAAAACTCTGTTCCTGCGGCAACTGCAGCGGCCTCTCCTCCTGACACAGCTGTGTCACCAGAAAGGAATGTGCTAGACTTCCAGTTTCTCCCTGCAGAGCGTATTCACGTGATCCGGGACACTGTGCTGTGGCCAAAACATTGCAAGTCAATCGTGCAGATTTCCAAATCACTCCACGGTGGCCGTGCAATTTGTCTGAGGCATGGCAGGAGGAATGTCCGAACTCCCAGATAAGACAGAGTAACAAAAGCCAAGATGGTCTTTACAATAACACACACACACACACACACACACACACACACACACACACACAGATTCACATTAGGTGAGAAATGCAGGAAACAGACTGGACACCTTTGTCCCTAGACTGTGCTTACTGGCAGGGAGGACTTTAAGCTACAGTGCGTAGGTATGTTTGTACTTTTCATCCCACCCGTTTTTTTCCTTTGGCTCCACCCAGTTTTCCCTTTGGCCCGACCCGCCAGGGCAATGCAGCCCCTGGAGGACTGGAACAGAATTCTGCCCTTGGCTGAAAGAGGTCAGACTCTAAGTGGCTGGGGCCCTACCATGTGCAAGGGCCGGTGCGCTGTAGTGGTGAGACTGGGAACCTGGGAGATCCATGGTCTAGTCCCCACTGAACCCTGAAGCTCACTGGGTGACTTTGGGCCAGTTGCTCACTCTCAGCCTAGCCTACCCCACAGGTCTGTTGTTCTGAGGATAAAATGGAGCTGTGGGATCCTCACAAAGGGGGAAAAGGGTGGGATAGAAATGCAATGCCATAGTAGTAATAAGAGTATTTCTTCCTACACAGAGTACCTGCCATGCCTCAGGATCTTCTCCAAGCACCACTGGTGCTCTGCACGCCCAGAGGAAGGGGAACCTTCCCTGTGGCAGCGGCCTGACAATGCCCCCCCCCCCCTTCTTCACGGCTGTGTTGGCCTTGAGCCAACATTACGGTCCTTTCGACACCAGGTCAAAGCCCATTTCTTCGTCCAAGCCTTTCAAACTGGCTTATTAAGCAAGTTGATGTGAGCTGTTGATGTACTCCTTGCTTTTTATTACTGGAGTTCTGCCTTCCCTGAACCAGTGCCCTCCCGATTTTTGAACTACTATTCCCATCACCCCCCCCCCCCAGCATGGCCAAAGATCAGGAATCCTGGGAGTTGTAGGCCAAAGCATCCAGAGTGCGCTCAGGCTGAGGCGGCTGATGTTGACATTTTATAATATTTCAAATCAGGATTTTGTAGGGGAAAATAGGCAGGGTGGGAATGCATCCTGCACTCCAACTTCCAGCTGATTTCCAGGGGAGACATACCACATCCTCACTCCAACACACACAAACATGCACACACATGCTTTCATATTATCTCAGCAAATGTGAGCATATTTACCAAGATGACATGCAGGTCCACCCACAAGCACGAAAGATAAAGTTTGGGAAAATCTGCCTTTACTGCAACAAAGGCACTAACATTACTCATTTACTGGCCAGGATAAGATCACTCTTCTATTTTGAGGCTGTCAGATTTTCCTCACCACTCAAACAGCAACATTTTATTGCAGTAAAAAATTGCTGCTGCTTTGTTGGCCAGAATTACAGCTTCTGTGAAAATCACTATGGAACAAGCAGCTTTGCAAGTCTCATGGGCGTCCACCAGACCGGACTCATTTGCACCATCAGAAATCCAAACGTTTACACAACAGCCACTGAATTCTGCCAAAATGACATTTCACTAACAAATGTTTAGAGGATCCTGCTTGAACAAAATATCTGCGGAGCACTGAAGGAGAACACAGACATGTTCCATAAGAGCAGGAATACTTTTCAAGGGAGAGCTACATTTTACTCTGTTGCTGCTGAGTTTTGCCTCAGGACAAATTTGGAGATTCCTTATTAGAGGAAGCACTCCAAAAAATATGAGGGCAATACTATAAGCATGTACCTGAGAGAAAGTCCAACCAAAGGTCTTCCTTTTGAGGTGGCATGAAAAATGAGGGAAGCTAAATACACGTGGAAGGGGATCCTGTTACTCTGCCCTTCCCTAACACGTTTGCTTCTACTTTTTCAGAATGACGCTACTGGTTGAATTAAGCAGAATTCACAAAATCTCTCTTGTGGATGAAGGAAGAAGATGGAAAAAGGGGGCAGCGGTGCTGGAAAATGTGAATACTGAATAACCATATTGTGCATATCCTGAGAAGCCAAAAGGGCACAGACCCAGCTCAAAGCAAGAAGTAAACTTGATTTTGATGAGTGACTATTCCTAGGAGAACTTCTTGGACTTTACATTCTTGACTTGGGGAAAGTTTGGAGGAATTTGTGTACTTTCCCTCATCTTACCACTCAAAACTGCCTTCTAGGCCAAGCCCAAGACATGAGATTTGGCAGCAACAAGGAATTTGTGGGCAGAAGGGAGGAGAAGTACTGCCACAACAATCAGTTGAGCAGTCATTCAAAGAGTTCTTTTTTGTATTTGTCCTTCTTTTGACAAGTCCAGAGCTATGCCAGGGAAATAAAAGCATTGTTTCTTGTTTCCCGCTTTCCTCAGTTGAAGGACATTACAGAACTGTTTTATAGGATCGGTTTCCATGCAAAGCCAGGACAGGGCAGCAGCTTCCTTTCTTTTTCCGGTTTCAATTATTATAATATTTTTTTCCAAAAGTATTTTTGGTTTTTAATGATCTTTAAGAAAGTGAAAGAAGGCAGTGGCACATACCTACAACTACAACACTTCATTTGGCAAAGACAGGCAGGATACATACGCTAACTGTAAAAAAAATGGCTGTTATTTTGAAACAGTGGGATTGTCATTGAAAACATTACAATTTCTAGGCCTCAGCCCAGTCCTTGTGGAGTCTGCATAGCAGAGAGCCAGATCACGTGGAAGGCACCCAGGTCCAGATTCTTCCAGCAAACAAGGAGGAGACAAAGGTCTTTGCCAACAGCGATGGCTTCTGTTTTCATTTGGAGATGACTGAAATTCTAACAGCCGGGAAGGAGGAGAAGCATCGCTATGCCATTGGGTTTGCCTGAGTATGTTGGACTATGGGAGAGGATCCCTTACCTCTGCCTTTGATACCAAATGACACTCTAATGGATTTGCAAAAATTGTATTAAAACCAGTGCTCACTGGAGTTTTTGCTGCATTCTAGGATGCATTTTTGTCCACTGTACTTACAAGGGATTTGCATCAGAGTGGAGAGTCTTAATAGGCCAAAGGGCTGGATTCCCTTTTGGAGACCCTCTTGAAAGTGTCATTCCAGATGTGGGTGGAGCCAAAGACTGAGAGGGTGGGGCCAAAACCTCCCCCTCCCCCAGCACATGTTAGTTCTTCTTGCTGGTGACTCAGCTTCGTGGGAGGCATTTCATTCTATTAGAATGGAAAGGAAAACAGACTGGGCTAAATTTGGAAACCACCATATAATGGGTGGTTAAGGGAAAGTGGTTGGGGCATGGGAAGGACGCATGGCCAAATGGGGAATCCCAGGAGGGTAGATATGGCTGCCAGGCCAGCAGTTTGCTTTACATGGGATAAATACGAACATGCTAATAAGAGGGCCAGAATGCTCTGCAACAAACAAATGCGTGGGGTCCATCACGGGCTCGTGTTCCCTGAAGGTGGAAAATGTTTGAATTCCTCTGCCATAAAAGCACAAGTGTTGGCAAGCTTATCT